ATAGGTGACTATCGGCTTCACAACTGTGTTGAATGACCAGTAAGTCATTCCCGTCGCTTGCATGCGAAGAAGGCTCTCATTGCCTTGTTTACGGTTGCATCCAAATGTACATTCCAGGTGATTGTCTTATCTAGCCACACCCCCAGGTATTTTGCTTCATTTGAGAGCCCTATTCTAGTGCCGCCCAGAGTCAATTCTGTCATGAATAACTTTTTCCTCCGGGTAAACGGAACCNTAGTAGGATTAATGGATAATCCTTTGGAGTCACACCATCTTTGCGTAATGCGCAGGGCTTGTTGCATGCGGTTGGAGATCGTTTCGTCATGCAGCCCTGTTACACAAATTACCAGATCGTCTGCATATCCTTGTGTTCCAAAACCATGGTCGTTCAATAGGAACAGGAGTTCGTCTATAACCATAGTCCACAGAAGAGGAGAGAGTACACCCCCTTGAGGGCAACCTTTTGTGGCTGTAATCGATTCTTTCGTTCCTCCCAGCTCCATCCTGATCTTCCTTGTTTTTAGCATAGAAAGCACCCAATTTATTATGATGGGGCTCACTCCCTTGCATATCAGGGCATCTCTTATTGCCCTGTATGACGTGTTGTCAAAAGCCCCTGAAATGTCAATGAAGGCACAAAGGGCTATGTTCTTAGACTCCAGAGCCTTTTCGATTTTCGATGTAAGGCTGTGAATGGCAGTCTCAGTGGACTTGCCTGGTTGATAGGCAAATTGGTTCTTATTCAGTGGTCGTTCCGCTAGGTTGACTTCTCTGATATGTTGATCCAAGATTTTCTCCATGCCTTTTAGGAGAAAGGATCTGAGGCTAATTGGTCTGTAGGATGAAGGCATTTGCTCCGGTTTACCTGCCTTCGGTAAAAATACCACCTTAGCCTCAGTCCATCTACTGGGAATGTGACCCAGTAGGAGCGACGCTCTGTATAGTCTGGAGAGGACTGGGGCTATGTAGTTACTTCCTTGTTGGAGTTGACAAAGATTGACCC